AGACACTCTTATGCACTGCCCTAAAGAAAAGATAAGGAGCAAGTGAATGAACTTAAGCTTGTTTCTTGTACTATGGCTGTGAATTCAGCCTCTTGATCAGTGCAATGAACGTTGCCCAATTAAGCTGGTAATAATTAAACTTTGTCACACTTCATGGTTTTAGCAGCACAATCCCTTGAATGCCTTCATTCCAAAACACATATCCTCTGCATACATTTCTAGGAGCGCTGGTCTCTTCTAGAAGATAGAGATGTATGCTTGGCAAACTACCAGTTTCCTTACCTTGAAAGTTTTCTTCAAGTTTGCTGGACTACTGAATGTTCCCTAGAAAGGGGAGATATTGGAACTTTTATTAAAATCTTTTAACCAAGAAGAAAAAGTTGGTAACAAACAGTATAGTATAGTATAGTATAGTATAGTATAGTATAGTATAGTATAGTATAGTATAGTATAGTATAGTATAGTATAGTATAGAATAGATACAGATCACACAACATTTTAGAATTTTCTCCCCAAACCTGAACCGTTTTTATATATAAGCCATTTTAAACATATACTATATATTATGTTTAAAATACCCCAGTGCTTAACATCCAAGGGGAACCCTATCTAAGCTAGTTGAGCTGAGGATGATAGTATTTTTACACTCAATATTCTCAAAAACTCTGCAGTATTTGAAGAGTGTATTGTCTGTCTGAAGACCATATAATATTTCAGATGCCCACTTGCATATGGTGATGCGTGGCTTCTCCTTTGTTTTGAAAAGACACCAGGCTTCACCAATTAACACAAAGATCCCCATTGCTATTGCTATTGCTATCCTAACCTCAGTCTCTGTGTAATGGTAGAAGCAGGAGTAGAAAAGCGTGGTGACCAATGGCATGTTTAGAATGGAAGCTTTTCGAGGGTATTTTCGAAAGATTTCTGTCTGCCCAGATGACTCTAAATGTTTGTCATTTGCCTGGAAAAAATCAGAAGAAATAAATTGCATAAGGATAAAGACATCTAGTGTTACATCAAAACAACACTTTTTTACAAGTTCCAAAGACAATCAGGGTTAAATCCTAACAAGTAGGTCGCAGTCCTTTGTATATTTACAGAGGAATGGCCTATGTTCAGTGGTGCTCTCTCCTAAGGAGGTATGGACAGAGTTGTGGTCTTCATGAGCTTGGTCCAGCCATTACCTCAGAGCTTAACTTACCTCAAACCACACTGAGTTAGATGAAGGAAGGGTAGGATAAACACTACATTAGTAATATATCTATCCCAGCTTTCTTTTTCTGAGATTGCATAGCAGTAATCATGCAAGCCCAGGAAAAGACAAGCCTTCTTTAAGGAGTTGCCAACTGACTTGTGAAAGTGTCACTCAGCATCTGCCATGGTGGCTCCCTTATAGCGGGCATGGGCAATTTTTTTCTAGCTTTTGGGCTATACCTTTCCTTTGTTCCTTGTCCACAAGTACCTGTTTTGCTCCTTAACCCCACCCCCACTCCAAAATGTAAAAAAGGATTTAATATTTTGGCCCTATCTACTTTTATTTTCAGCCAGATAAGAACATTTGGTGTTACAAGAAGCAGGTCAAAGCCAGGAAAACTGGAATAATCGTCACTCCCATGTGTCCAATGACAGAGCTGGGACCTCACCTCAATGATGATCTGCCTTTCCAGAAGTGTATAATGATCCTGAACATGAGCAGCATCCTCTGATGAAAAGGGCAACCTAGAGTGGAGAAGTGGGGGGGGGGGGCACTCTTGCATTCTTCCTTTGTACAGAATGTAATCATACTTATTCAAAAGCAAGTTCAGTGAGGCAGCCTTCTCCAACCAGGTACCCCACAGGTTCAGTTAACAAAGAATAATTCTGGGCTAATGATCTTTACAATCTATTCACTGAATACTAAAAGAGCCATGTGGGATCAGATCAAAGGCATGCCATGCATTCTGCTTGCCAAAATGGTCAGCTAGACTTCTATGAAAAGCTCACATAAGCAGGCCCTTAAGTAACAGATAATTAGACATTACAATACATTTGAACTTGGTAATGTTTAGGTAGCAACTACTGATAGTGTTATTCCCTATTAATTTGTCTAAGTTTCTTTAAAAACCTTTCCATGTGTTAGGCAGCAAAACATTTTGAGGAGTGATTTCTGCTCCTACAGTTGAACTGTGTTCTAACTGAAAGAGTACTTTTGTTGGCCCTAAATTTCCTGGTATGGTCTTGTTATTGCAACAGTAGGGAAAAACGTCTCCCAAACCACTTTCTCTACACAGTGCATACCTCTATATAACCATGATGGGTTTTTTTCCTTATTTGCCCTTTCTTCTCCCCAAAGAAAAGCCTTTTCTTTACTGCTCTCCATATTTCTTCCTTTGTGGAGAACAATAGGGCTTCCTTCCCATTAATACTGCAACTACTTCACCCCTAAGGCTTGTTCCCCTTTCATTTCTGCATAACCTACACTTACCC